GAAATAGATCTATAATATCATTGAAACAGATCTGTAATGACTCAGATTTGTACAGATATCACACAGATTTGTAATGAGAAAATTTTCAAATTCTGAACAAGTAATTTTCGAGTTTTAGTTACAGACGGTGAAAACTGTAAAATTTTGCAGTTTCAAATTTTTTTTTTGGTACTGGAATGAATCATGGTTTAAAGCTGTCTTTAGAGCCTCACCCCAGAGGGACTCTGGTAAAGTAGAATGACTGATCATACTTCTTACCATATCCTTAAGAGTCCGGTTTCGGATGGGCGGTTCATTTTTCAAATGGTGAACATCATGTATTTATATATATATGTATATAATTGGGATGGATTCAGATTATATAACATATACGGGGTAACAAATTTAGAAATCTTTAAATTTAATGTAATTTCATACAACGTCTACGGAAATTTAATTTTCAAATGTTATAAATATAAGTCAATTCAAACAAGATGTCACAACAGTGATCTCTCTTGTCTAGATTGTTTTATATGGAATGTTTTGAAATTCATGTCTGTGTATCTCATGCAGGTATTTATCGGTCCAAAGACATGATTAAGACTTGGCAGAATTACACACACATTTTGTGGTGATAAACATGTGCCAATTGTCAAGGAAACCTAATGTGAATAATAAATCCATCAAAAGATAGATTTGTTATTTGACATAACTTATTGTCAATGTTTGATCATTACAACAAGAATACCACTTACAGTTAATATCACTACCCAAAGGTTTGGTATTAAGGTTGTGCTAGGTATCTTGAGATGTTGTCATTAAATTAATTTATTTAGAGATTATCTGTTTGGTAACTTAATGTGAGTATAATTGTTTATTCATTTTATTTTCTTTTTGATTCAGCTTTAATGTCGACTACTTCAATCTCTGCCAACATGAACAATGTTCCAATGTTAAATGGAACAAACTTTAAGGACTGGAAAGAGAACATATTGATTGTTCTCGGCTGCATGGACATAAACTTGGCATTAAGGATGCCAAAACCGAATGCTCTCACTACACAAAATACTCCTGAGGAAACTGTGTACTTTGAAAAGTGGGATCGTTCTAACAGGCTAAGTCTTATGATCATGAAGCGTGGGATTCCAGAAGTTTTTCGGGGTGCAATAACAGAGGATGTTACCGTTGCCGGTGAATTTCTTTCAGAAATTCAAAAGCGTTTTGCTAAAAACGATAAGGCTGAAACAAGCACGCTTTTAGCAAGCTTGATTTCAATAAAGTATAAAGGCAAGGGTAATGTTCGCGAGTACATCATGGAAATGTCTTATCTTGCTTCAAAACTTAAGGCACTAAAGCTCGACCTATCTGATGATTTGCTCGTGCATTTAGTTCTCATCTCTCTTCCTGCACAATTTAACCAATTTAAGGTCAGTTATAACTGCCAGAAGGAGAAATGGACTCTCACTGAGCTCATTTCATTTTGTGTGCAAGAGGAAGAGAGATTGAAGCAAGAAAGGACTGAAAGTGCTCATCTAGCAAGCACCTCCAAGCATATGGGCAAAAGAACGCATAAGGGAAAGGAAGTTGCTATTCCTCAGGGTCTGAAACCAAAGAAACAGAAAACCAAGAGATTTCTATCTAAGAATTTTGAAATGAAAGATCTTGGTGATGCTTCCTTTGTATTAGGAATCGAAATACTCTGAGATCGTTCTCGGGGTATTCTGGGATTATCACAAAGGAGCTATATCGAAAAAATACTCATTAGATTTGGCATGCAAAATTGTAAATCAGGTGAAACCCCGATTGCTAAGGGAGACAAGTTTAGTCTCAGCCAATGCCCGAAGAACAGTCTTGAAATTCAAGAAATGCAGAAGATCCCTTATGCCTCAACTGTAGGGAGTCTAATGTATGCTCAAGTATGTACGCGTCCGGATATTGCGTTTATAGTTGGCATGTTAGGCAGATATTTAATTAATCCTAGCATGGATCATTGGAAAGCAGTCAAGCGTGTTATGCGATATTTACAGAGAACAAAGGAATATATGCTCACATATAGGAGATCGGATAAGTTAGAGGTCATTGGATATTCCGACTCCGATTTTGCTGGATGCCAAGACAGTAGGAAATCCACATCAGGCTATATTTATCTGTTAGCTGGCGGAGCAATTTCTTGGAGGTCTGCAAAGCAGACGCTCATAGCTTCATCCACCATGGCCGCAAAATTTGTAGCATGTTATGAGGCATCAAACCAAGGGATATGGCTGCGGAATTTTGTCACTGGGTTGCGTATTTTGGAAGGCACTGAAAGACCACTTAAGATATATTATGACAATAAGTCTGCAGTTTTATATTCCAATAAAAACAAGAGCTCGACAAAATCAAAGCATATTGATATCAAGTACCTAGTTGTGGCCGGTCTTCGGACCGGGGGACAGATTTCCATAGAGCACATTGGGACAAACTCCATGACAGCGGATCCACTTACGAAGAAACTACCACCCAAGGTCTTTCATGAGCACACTGCTCAGATGGCTGTTGTTCTATTTGAGAACATTCTGGTTTAGTCGGAGTTTGTATTTATATTACTGCTTTATGCCAGCCTTGAGTTTTATCTATATAATTAGATTAATTTCTGCAAAAATGAAGTATTCAGTTTATTACACTCTGTTACGTACTGTGAAGTATTGATCTCAATAAAGTTAAGAAGGACCAGTTGGAAATAGGCATGCATGGATCACATCACATGTAATTTCCATGCTACACATCCATGATTGATCTATGTTATTTAGCTGTATTAGTATACGTGACCATTGGTGGGGCGAGTTACGATTGATGTAACGAAGACCGCTTTGATCCTATATTAATATAGTTAATGGACAAGATTGTTTGGATACCCTCAAGTTATGATAACAAATTTCTGAGCTCACTAAAGTTAAGCACATTTTTCAAGATACATATGTGGTCCAGTAGGAGATTGTTAGATAATGTCTCAATGGGACCACATAATTAAATGTGGTGTTATCATTTATAAAAAGCCTACAATTTAAGGGATTCAATTTAGTTAATAGGCTTAAAGGTATATGTGTTATGGACCTAATGTGTAGATACTAATTGTATAATTTCTATTTCTATGAAGGGCAGAAATAGAAATTAAAACATATTGGTTAAAGTTGGTTTTCATTACCTTTCAGTTATGAAAACCAATTACAACCTTTAAAAGGTTATGGTCCCTATTCCTTCCCAAGTGGAAAAA